CTAACATCCTTTTATTATCTAAAACGCCTCCAAACAAACAGTAATGTTTAAAAAGTAAGGAAACCATGTTTCAACACTTTATTTTAATTCCTTTAGATTGTTTTAATTTTAGTTTGTAAAAATCCCAATAAATCTTTCTAACTTTTAGTTTGTAATAAATTTATTTTTATTTTATAATTTATTTTGGTGGTATTGTTTTTATTTTGATTTAAATTTTCTTTTTAGAATTATTTTATTTTATTTTTATTTATTTTTGCTTTCATCTTTTTAATCTCCATTTGGACTTCGAAGACTTAAAATTTGGGTCGTAAGACTAGTTTTGTTAGTTGAATTTTAAGTGGCTTATTAGCTGAATCACGAACATCTTTCTAACTGGTTTTGTTAAATTTTATGAGGCATGCTCATTCGTTTCCGAACAAGTTTTCATCATTGTTCATACAAAATATTAATTTCATGGGTCGTTTCAATTACTTTTAAAGTAGTTAAAATGTTTTTATTTTTGTTATTTTTATTGAAGTAGGATAAGATAGAAATTTAGCACAAACTTATTAAACAAAAAATTATAAAAGTCAAATCCTCATTTCCTCGATTCAATTTCAATTACCATATACATTGGTGAAAAGAATCATCTTGAAAAATAATTAAAAAATCAGAGGGTTTAATTGATTTTAATAGTAAGTATAAATTTCACCGATCAAATCAAACCATATATTTGGATTATTTTCTTTTAAAAAAAAAAAGAATAAGAAAATTTTTAAAAAAATATTTTCAAACAATACATAAGTTTGAACTCAGTCAAAAGAATATGTAAATTTCAAAAAGTTTAAAGAATCAATTAAAAAATACAGTTGTCATGATCCGATTTTCGAGACTTTGAAGCACAGTCAGTGACGTTGGACTTATATTAAAAAAAAATACTATAAAAATGGAATAACCCAAATTTTTGACTGTTATGATATAATATGTGCATGATGTGAATTGTTACGTCTGAAGGCATGGAAACGCTATGGTACGACAAATTTGTAACATGAATGATATATTATCTAATTGACATGTAAAATGACGCATTGGCATGAAATACAACCCCAATACACTCGTGGAAGATACGATAAATGGTATGATAGGAAGAAAGGTGTAGTATATGGTAATGTAAAAGGAAAAAAGTTAGGACTTCATGTCTTATTATGTGCTCATGCATCGGTGGATACCCCCTCTCCTTTTACGATAGTATGGACGTGTACGTACGAGACAGGGAAACGATCATTATGTTTACCATAATGTTGCCATGACGGTCGCTTTTCCTAACGGATGTCTGACATCAACACCTAATAAACAATGCTCGCCAGACTAGAAAAGAGCCCAGGAGGTGATTAAATCGACCGGTGGATCCATACTCGCACGTGTAAGTCGTATGTCGGTAAATTAAGTACACATTCAATTGCTCACTTATGATAGCCGCCGTAGGAAACAGGCTGAGTATTTCTTAAAATACTCAACTACTCAAGCCACGTGCTACTTCTATTTCAAATAAAGGCAAGACATCCCTGTATGGCTGACAACGACATCGCAATTCGAGACCATGACACATCCATAGAGTGTTGGAAATGGCCCAAAATCGAAAAATGTCAAAACAAATAAAGGGAGCAAAAAGAATAATTTGAGGGAAGAAATCTTTTGGAAGGAAGCTTAAGCACTTGAGTCTACAACCACTAACCATCTTCCTAATTAAATCATAAAATTGGGTCTACAACCACAAAAACTTGGTCCACAATTTGGCTCCATAAGTCAAGTAACTATTCTACCAAGTCTACTAACAATTGCTACTTCATAAGTTAATGACTTATTCTACTAGGTAGAGTTTATAAGCTCACAGTCTTCACTCCCATCAATTTCTGCATCTACACAATGCAGCAAACTTAACCCTTGCTAAATCTTTGGTTAGAATATCTACACAATGCACTCTAGTGCATACGAACTCCAAAACAATTTGTTTCTTCTCAACACATTCATGGATGAAGTGGAAGCGAGTATCATTGTGTTTGCTGCATCTGTGAAATTATGGATTCTTCATCCATGCAATCATAGATTTGTTGTCGATGTAGAGAGTTACCAGCTTTAGTTCACTTATAGTCACTTCATTCAATAAATTTCTCAACTACAATACTTGGCATGACGCCGCAGTTGCTGACATGAACTCGACCTCATAGGAAGATAGTGCCACAGTTCATTGCTTCTGAGATTGCCAAGAGAATAAATTTTCATTGAGATAAAACGCTTTTCCTGTGGTGCTTTTTCTATCGTCAATGTCTCCAGCTAAATCACTATCGGTAAAATCGACTAGCTCTTCAAGACCTTGCCCTCTTTGATACTTCAACCATGCCAAAACACAAACCATTAGAGTCTCTCTACAACAATAGGGAACATCTCGCTCCAAATTAGGTTAGAGCTTTGACTAAGGGAGAATAGCAAGGTCATCGGTTGTCAAATTCATATTCCAACTCTTATTGTGAATCTTGGGTATGAGTTGTTATCGATGTGTGCTGAGGATCAACTTTATCTTCATACACTCGTCCTTGAGAGCTCCTTCTCAAAGCCCCATGCTAGGCCAATTTGCTCGCCCTTTACTTTCACTATCTTCCTCAACGCTTCCACCCCACCAAAACTCCACAAGAATTCTCTTATGCTAATATTTTTTGGTTTTTCCGAGGAAGTAAGGTCCGAATTATGTATTATTTACAAAATGTGAATTCCTCAACATCGAAAACTTCAAATAAAATACAATAATAATATGTGTGCCTTTATACTTCAATAAGATGAAATGATGAACATCAACGCTACTTAGTACCACAATCAAAATGTTACCAAGAGAATCATTAGAGGATATAAATAAATAATGAAACTTTTATAAATACAATCGAAACAAAAATAACAAATAAAATTAAATTGAATCGAATCCATTAGAAACTGTGAAAAAAGTAGTAAATATAGTAACAAAATCAGTGTAGTAAATATAGTAACAAAATCAATACAATTGTTTAAATACATGGAATAAAATTATAATTTAACTTAGACTAATGTAAATATTAAAAAAAAAGTACAAAGAAAAGAAATAAATGTAAATAAGTGTTTTAAAATACATGAATACGGGCTACATGAGAAACTTTTGCCCATTCAACGCTCCCTTGACCATGTTCAAGTTGGGAACACTGAAATACTGTGAATTGTTCAATCTAGTAAGATTTGACTTGACTTCTTTTGATGACAAGCTTTTCAAATTTATGCATTTGACTATCATCAATAGGGGTGTACATTCAACCCGACAACCGGACCAACCCAACCCGAATTATAAGGGTTGGGTTGGGTTGGATTAGCTTTTCAGGTTGGTTTGGGTTCATTTTTCTGAACTCGAACTGACTCGGTTCGGTTTTGGGTTCATGGGACTAAACCCTCTGGTTGACCCGAGCCAAATAAAAATATATAAAATATACTAAGAAATTTGTTTTAATTAAGTCTTTACTAGAGTGATATTTTGTCCTAACATAAAACACTCACAGCCGAGTTTGATGCCAATCAAATACATTAAGATTAGGCTATTTCAATTATAATATATTTTTTTTATTTTTGTAATAGTTGAGTACATTAAGGTTAGGCTATCTCAATTATAATATTTTTTATTTTTATTTTTGTAATAGTTTAGGACTCTCTTCCATTAATGTTAGACTATTTCAATTATAATATATTTTTTTTTAATTTTTGTAATAGTTTAGTACTCTCTAACTCCATCAAGGTCAGACTATTTCAATTATAATATTTTTTATTTTTATTATATATAGTATTTTTAAACTAATCATTTTTTTGCTTTTTTAATTTCATAATCTATCTTTATATTTTTCTTACTTTAATCAGTTCTCAACAAGTGTCCAATATTTTAGTTGTTTTTAGTTTTATATGTTACAATTGTCTCTCGTTGTTCTTGATTGAATTTGTTTTTTTTCTTTGTGAATAATTATAGATCAATTTGTGTTTGTTTGTGAAAAGTAGTTTTTTTTAACAACCGGAACCCAATCCGATGGTTGGGTTGGGTTGGGTTGGGAAAATTTTCGGGTTGGGTTGGGTTACCAATCTAACCAACCCAAACTTTTGGGTTTGGCAAAAAAAAATCCCTCAACCCAACCCCGACCATGTACACCCCTAATCGTCACTAGTCTCCAACTATGTAATGTTTCCTAAACCTTCTAACAAATATTCACCTCCATCAAAACACTCAACACACTACAATCTTAGAGTAGTGAGATGCTCATGTTGTTTAGGAAGTTGTATCAAACATTTAGTTTCTATTTCACATAATATAAGATTTTCAAACAAATTGAAGTGTATGAATGGACTCCAATCATAATTCTCCATGGCCCATTAACTCGTAATGTTTTCAAGTGTTGAATGGAGACAAGCCTCTAATGACGACGTTTGAAATTCTAGGATTGTCAATGATGATAAGTCTCGAAAACCTTGCAAATTTGAAGGGAAAAGTGTAACGACCCTAAATTTCCACATATTCAGAGTCGCTACTAACGTCTCATGCTCATCTATAATGCGGAAATATAACTCTTACATGAACATAGTTGATAACGTAAACTTCAAAAAAACGTTTAAAACAACTTCTTCTCTGGAAAACACAGCCATGGTCTTACGTGTTTAAATATGAAATACTGAAATTTAGAGAAAACAAAAACAAATACAAAATAATTTAAAACAATGAAATGCAAAACAACCTATTCTAACTTAAGACTAGAAATTTAAATATGAATTTACCCTATGCACGTGCCACAGTCTCTGCTCGCGATGCCGCCGTCCTCCGTAGAAGTGCGCCTTGCCTTTACCTGAAAAATGATGTGGCACACGGCCTGAGTATTTCAAAGAATACTCAGTAAGTTGCCCCGCTATAGGGGCCATGCAAATGCAAACACATGCAATCATGATTTAGGGACCTATCTCTAATCATC